CTCACCACTGCTTCTGGCAGTCGAGTGAGTACAACTTTGGCCTCGTGCAGCCTTCAAGTTCTAGAGGCGGGGGGCTCATGCAGCCAACTTTTTTATTTCCCCCCGCGACAGCTTTGCATGCTTCACAAGTGGGATCTCAATGACGCCATCACTACGATTCAACGGGAAAAGTGCCACAGCGTAACGGGAGTGGGATTCATGCTTCGAGAAATCGTCTCTAGCGGCGCATCGCTGCCCAGTTTGGAAGTGATGGGACACGGAGGCGCATCGACGCCAAGAGAGACGGTGAGGGAAGTGTCTGGCAAGCTGAAATCTTTGCTGGTCGGGCAGGGATACGGCTTGACAGAGGTGAATGGTGTAGCTTGCGGTATCTATGCCGATGATTACGTTCATCGACCAGACAGCATCGGTCTACCGCCGCCCACTGTTGAGCTATGCATCGTCGATCCTACATCCCTCGTCCGCCTTACAAAGCCTGACGAGGAGGGCGAACTGTGGATCAAGTCTCCAGGGGTAGCTAGCTACTTTAACAGACCCGAAGCCAACGCCGAGTCGTTTATGCCCGACGGTTGGTTCAGAACTGGCGATCTGGCAAAGCAAGACCAAGCTGGCTTCTACTACATTACGGGAAGAGCAAAGGAGATGATCATTAGGGGAGGCGAGAATATCAGCACGGTGCACGTGGAGAATGCAGCCTTTAGTCATGCAGAGGTAAAGGATTGTTCGGCTTTCCCGCTGCCTTGCAAGATTTACGGCGAGCGCGTAGGTCTGGTGGTGGTGCTGCACAAGAAGGAGGCTTTGCGCACCATCAAAGCCAAAGACATTATCGATCATGCAAGTCAAACGCTTCCCAAGTTTGCTACACCAGAAGTGAGTTTCGGGGGGTTTTGCAAACCAAAACAAAACAAATTAAGCTCAATACTCCTGGACTGCATCCTACCTACCCACTGCCTTCTTCCAATGCATCTGCTCAAACTTTGACTGCGCTCGCTCGGCTCCGGCTCCGGCTCCCCCGCCCCCTTTCAACATTCTACAGTACGTCCACCTGACCACCACTCCTCTTCCCCGCAATCCCAACGGCAAAGTCATCAGAAAGCAAGTGACAAAGACGGGCGTGGAGCAGGCTCTCAAGGATGGATGGAGTAGTGCGCAAAGCTCGGCACGCGACAGCAAGCTCTGAGTCCGATACACATAGATAGATAGGCCCTTTGCCCTTCTCTGTCTCTTGTCTCTTGTCTTTTTTTTTCCTGCTGGCTTGCTGCTGGGACCTCTTCGTCTGCGCTGCGCGTCCGCCTTCAAGAGCAAGCAAGCATGGCGCGCGTTAAAATTTGGTTGTCGCATCTGCTTTCAGTCTCCTACGGTACGCATTGCATTGCCCAGCAGTCACATTGGTACCGCTGCGCCTCGTTTCCCCTTTGTGTGCCATCGCCCACATGCAATCTGAAATGCTTCCTCACGATCAATCTATTACAAGCCGAGCTGATCTGACAACTATCTTGTCGATGAAATTGCTTGGCATGGCGCGCGGGAAAAAAGGACGCCAAGCCAGTCCAGACGTCGTGGTCGACCTCTGCACTGCACCTCTCGACTCTAGTCTGATGAAGCGCGCGTCGTTCAGGGCGCGGCGCTCGCCTCGAGCGCCGCATTGGGCACCAGTCCCAGCTCCTTCAAGCTCTTGCCAAGCTCGGCTGATCCGAATTGTTTGCGCGGAAAAGTGGTGCTGAACTGTTTGTTGGCGCGCAAGCACGATGAGAGGGGGGGCGTGTGGATGTGGTGCAAGGATGTGACCCTGTAAGCTGTCCATACTTCAAATCGAGTTCGAGAGAACGAAGGACGAATATTGCGGGCAAGGAAAACTCACATTCAGTCCTCCATCAGCCATTCCAGCCTCCTGAATGAGCTTTGCAACATCCCCAAGCGTCTTGTCAGCCGGCAGAGTTCCAGTCCAAGTGCCTTTCGGAGCTCTAACCCGCAGTCGTGCCTCGTTGGTATTTGCGCCGTTTGCCCCTGCGCCACCTGCAAGTGCAGCCGCTAATCCTCCAGGCTTGCTAGATGCAGCTGGCGCAGACACGGGCACTGGACCTCCTTCGCGCAAAGCCTTTTCACGAGCAGCCTTCTCCGCCCTCTCGCGCTTATCTTGCTCGATCTGCTCCCGCACTCGCCGCTTCGCCTCGACCTGCATACCACAGCAAGACTCCATTGAGCTGGCTGGCCATTTGTGCGCCTGGACGTGGGACTCACATTGGCTCGCGCTTCGGCTTTGCGCTTCTCAGCTTCTCTCACAGCCTCTGTGCAAATGAGGGGCAGCGTTTGTGGGTGGGTGAGAAGCGGGCAGCTTCGTGAGATCCGCAACGCGCTACAATTTTTCTCAGCATGCTCACCCTTCTTCTTCATCTCCTCTCTAGCCTCTCCCATATCCCTTCCAGCTTTTCGTCTAATCTGCTCGTTCGCCTTGGCCTCCTTGGCATCATCCTTGCTCTGCGCTGCTCTTTTGGCTGCCAGCTTGTCCCGAACTGTGAAGCGCCGGAATGGGGGAACCACATATCGTTGAGCGGATATTAGTGCGAGGGGCACAGCAAAGCGCATACTGCGATATTGTCGACTCACGCTCAGCGAGCTTTGCCTTTTTCTCTTCTTCTGTCAGAGGTTTGACCTGTGACGTGTGCGGGGCAGAAAGTGAGAGCGAGAATGAGTGCGTGAGATTGAGAGGGGGAGTGGACGCCAAAGGAGACCAAGTTTGACACTGCGCACCTCTTCTGTGCTCTCCTCAAAGTTGGTGTGACCGCTCTTCTCGGCGTGAAAGGAGGCAAAGGCGGGCGACTTGAGGATCTTGCCGCATTCCACGCATTTGATGCTCTGCTCCCCAAGGAATGGGAAAGAGGGAGCAGAGTGGTAAAGCGTAAGTCAAGTTGCGCGAGCTGTAGCGATGCGCGCATACATGGCATTGCACGCTGCGTATATGCGCACCTTTGCCTCTTGAGCACCCTCGATCATCTCATCCTGAGCGCTCTGACCCTGTTTGCCCAGCATGTCCATCAAGGCCGCCTGATCCTCATCATCATAGTCCGCCGCGCCTGCCGCGGTGGCTGGAGCAGGCGCGTTCTTGTAGTCGGGCACTGGCTCTTCGGAATGAGCAAGAAGATGATCCATGGCGGGCTGTAGACCGCTTGAGCGGGTGGCGTGCAGTGCCCAGTCCACTCGATCGGCTGTGAAGCCCATGCCCAAGACTGCGCGGGGTGCGGGAGGGAAAGGTGGAAGCACGTCGGTCAGTGTGTGTGTGCGTGTGCGTGCGTGTGCGTGTGCGTGTGCGTGTGCGTGTGCGTGTGCGTGTGCGTGTGTGTATCGAGAGCCTGATCGCGTCGGGCCAGCGTGTCGAGGGGATGGATGCGGCGTGATGCGGCTGGGTGGAACTTGACTGAGAATCGGCTACACTGCGCCTCGATGGAAGGGGCACGCGACACACGTCGTCTGAATCGCATGCTTGAAGAAGAAATTACTCACGAGTGTCGCGGTCCGCCATGATGACTACGAATCTTGCGCTTGTGATGGTGAGTGGTGAGTGGTGAGGGATGAGGGATGAGTGGTGAGCGGTGAGCGTCTGTGGAGAATGGTGAGTGACGAGTCGGTCGACATCACATGCATCCATCCATCCATCACGCGCGCACGGACTCTCTTCCCGCACAGAAGGCGATGCGATGCGTGTTGCACGGGGCGCGTCCGGCGCATGCGAGGCGAGGTGAGCATCATGCTGCTGCTGCTGCTGCTGCTGCTGCTGCATGCATGCATGCGCGCTCGCTCGCTCCCACCCGCCCGTGGCTGTGACCTTCTTCCTGCTGATGGGGCCAGCCAGCTGGAATGCCATGTCTGCTCACCAACCACCTCACCTCACCTCACTTCACTTCATCAACCTTGGCAGTCTGGACCGCTGGAAAGATGTTTGTGCGCAAAGAGACGAGGACACGAGAGAAGGAGGCGGCCGAGTGGGAGCCTTTGCTCGGCTTTGCATCGGGCCAGAGGGAGGGGCATCAAGCTGCTCCTGCTGTTGCTGCTGCTGCTGCTTCTACCAGTCAAGCACCATGGAGTCAGCTCAGCTTTGCTAGGCGCGTCATCGCGCTGTGTACGGTGCTCATCCTCAGCCTCGTCGTGGCTTTGAGCCTATTCCTGCTGATCAACGGTCTCACCAGCGACCCCGCCTCCCCATCCGCACCCGCACCCGCACAACACGCAGGCAGATTCGACAGGACAGCGCGGCCTACTCTGCATTGGGCTAGCTGTCCAGGCGACAGAGGCAAGGATGAGCACTGGAAATGTGGACACATCGATGTGCCCTTGGATCATCTCAACCAGCAAGACGTCAGAGTGGTGCGCCTCGCCACTGTCAAGTACTCGCCCAATCCTCATCGCAAGAGCGAGAGGACAGTGGTGGTGAATCCGGGTGGGTATGGGTATTTGCATGCGCACCTTCTGCCTCCCTTTTGCTTTGACTGATGCGATGCGCCGCGCCGCTCTTGTCCATATGATGTCATGTTCTCTTCAAGGCGGACCAGGCGGGTCGGGCACGTCGTACGCTTTCAGAGCAGCTGTCACCATCTCTGCAAACTACACGCCATCGTACGATGTGCTCGGCTTCGATCCGCGCGGTGTCAACCTGTCCACACCCGTCGGCTCGTGCTACAACCATTCGGCGATGCGCGACAGATCCTTCTACCTCAAAAACGTATTCTACGAGAGCGCAGTGGGGAGTAGACACGCGGAGCATGTGCACCCGCACCCGCACCCGCACCCTTTGCCTCCTGATCATCACGCACCTCCACCCACGCATCGAGAGGAGGAGGACAGCGTGGCTGTTGGACAAGCTGCTAGAGCGCTTCGACTGGCTAGTGCAGCGGACAGCGCCGAATGGTCCGCTTGCAGGCACAAATTGAAAGATCTGCCACGATTCTTTACCACGGCAGCAACAGCGCGCGATGTGGATCTCATCAGGCAGGCGCTCGGCGAAGATGCGCTCACGGCGTACATGGTCAGCTACGGCACTGGGCTTGGACAAACGTATTCACAATTGTTCCCTCACAGGGTGGGTAGGATGATTCTGGATGGGCTGGAGTTTGTCATTGATCATCGAGAACGCGTAGGTGCGTGCGCGTGTGTGGGCGCGCTTAGAAAGGGGCGACCGACACTGCTGCTGCTGCCCACGAGGCGCACGCTGATGCTGACTGCATCACCGTCCCTCTCTTCTCCACTTTGTAGGATTTGGGTGGACGTCGCTGGATAATGTGACGGATGCGTGGCGAGATGGTTTCATCGGCGAGTGTGTCAGACCAGGTGCACACTGTGCCCTCTCCCTCAAGCCATCCGCAATTCAAGCACAGCAACAGCATCATCTCTCGCTCGACTCTCGCGAAACGCGCAAATCGCTCGAAATTCGTCTAGAGGCGCTCCTTGATCACATCTTTCGCAACCCGATCGGAGGCTTGGATAGTCATGCCGACCCTCAAGTACTGCGCTACGATGATCTCATAGGCATCATCTACGCTTCCCTTTACAATGCCCAGACTTGGCCCGATACTGCCAAGTTGCTCTTGCAGCTCGAAAATGGAAATGCGACATTGGCGCTCGATGCGCTCAGGGGCTCGTGGTCTTATGATCCGAGGAAGCGCAGCGTCCCGCGCGGGCACAGGATTCGCAGACATGGACATGCGCACGGGCATGGACGTGCTCCTGATTACGAGCGAGGTCAAGGCAGCTTCTACCATGCAATCTCCGATCAATGGTCTGCTGCAGAGTCAGACTCAAATTGGTCCGATCGCCTAGCGAGCTTTCTGGAGCCCAAGAGCGCAATGCGCAAGAGCGGCAGTATCCAATCGAATCTGGACCCGCTGTGGTCCTCTCATCCCTTGGAGCCCGAAGCTGGATCTACCGAGCTGGGCATCTTCATCATCTGTGGCGATGCGTACGATGCGCCCGCGCAGGATGATGCGTGGTACGTGTCGCTTTGGAAGAACATGACTGCGAAGTGAGTGGCGTGGCTAGCACGTTTGCGTGCCGTGTCGCACGCAGTGTGCGGAACGCAGCATCGCAGCAAGGCTTGGCATCTGATTCCTATTCCCCCTCCCCTGCTCCTCTTTCACGCACGCACGTCCCTTGTCCTCTTTGCTCGCCTGCAATCGCACCCCCGCACCCTCAACCCCTCACCCCTCGCCCCCCTCTTCGCGCGCAGATCTTTCATCTCGGGCGACGATCGCTTTTTCAGCTCTCTACCTTGCAAGACGTACCCATACAAGCCTACGGATGTCTATCGAGGCGATTTCGACCATCCGCTCAAAACTCCACTCTTGCTGATCGGCGAGACGTACGATCCGGCCACGCCGCTACGCAACGGAGAGAGGCTAGCGAGAGCGCTGGGAAGAGGTAATGCGAGGTTGATCAGGCATCACGGGTATGGACATTCGTGAGTGGGGCAGTGGAAGTGGAAGCTAATGTCTCCCCCTTTCGAAAGAGACGTTTTCTTTTTGCGTTGTTGTCGTCGTTTTTCTGTCTTTCTTCTTCTTCTTCTTCTTTCCTTCCAACGTCGGGGCAATGGTTGAAGAGTGTGCGTGGAAAACATGGTGCCTATACTCATCTCGATCCCACCCAACCCCCCGTCCGCCGCAGTTCTCGTGATCGCTCCATCTGCACGGAAAACTTTAAAAAGGCCTACTTGTCGCACGGAGAGGTGCCGGGAGATTTCTTCACCGACTGTCTTGCCGATAGCAAGCCGTACAGCCAGCCGATGGAGCGCGAGTCCAACGTCTTTTTGACAGAGGTGTGGAGGGAGGTGATGAGAGAGAGCGAACGCGGCATTTGAGATTGAAAGGGAGGTGCAAGTGCGTTGCGTGAGGCACGACGGGACTCGATGCGTCATCTGCATCGGATGAGTTCTGCTGCTGCTGCTGCTGCTGCTGCTGCTAGTCGCCGGAGCTCGCGCCCGTTGCAGCCTTTCCATGGCGACACGCTCAGGCAACACTAGCTCGCGATGGCACATTCCACCAATTCGCCACACCTCTTCATCACGAGATGATCATCTCAAGTCGAGCGATGAGGTCAATCATAAATTCTCTTTTCGGCTGGCACGGTGTACATAGTGTTCTCGTTGCGCAGCAATCAGATGTTCGGGCTCAGAGTGCAGCAAGCGCTCAGAGCTCTTCGTGAGCGTGACCTACCACCTTCTCCTTTACCTGCTGCGCAGCCTCCTCTGCACTGTTTTGCACCTTTTCAGCCGTGCTAGGTTCTTTCATCCCAGCCTCCTTGGCAGCCTGCTGCATCTTCTCCTTGGCCTGCTTCGCAACCTCTTCGAGCCTCTTTAGATTCTCTTCCGGAATCTTTCTGAAAGCTCCTAGCACATTGACCTTGCGCGTGATCTCGTCTACTTTGCTAGATGCCAGAGCTGCGGCACCGGACGTGTGCTTGGAGAGGAGCGTAGAGAGTCGTTTGGTCTCTTTCTCCACGTAGGACGGGTTCAGCGTCACCTTGTCCATCACCTACAGAGCGTGCCAAGCATCAGTAGGAAGGTCAACAACGCGCGCGCACAGCGCTCCATACTTCTGCCCAACGTGCACTCACCTTCATGTAGTAGTCCGCAGCAGCTTCCTTGGCCTTGGTCGTGTTGGGTCTCTTTTTCAAATCTTCCAGCATGTTCAAAGCTTCAAAGACGATGTCGCGCCTCTTTTCTCCCAGTGGGGCATTGAAGAATCTGGTAGCTATGCTGTCCAGAATGGGCAGTCTGCCTGCCAATTCGGACAGCTTGCCACCGGCGGTACGGAAGGTGGAGGCCTTATCGTTGAGGAATTTGACGAAGGAGTCTTCATCGCGACCGCCTTGGTACAGCACGCCTTCCTTGTTGTCCTTTGAGAAGAACTGATGGGCGGTCGCGCGAGTGAGGAAGATTTGGTGAGTGTGCACAACGGAAGTGAGGCGGTGAGATGGATCAGACTGCTACTCACGACGATGGTTGGATAGCTGGACACTCCGTGCTTGACCGCAATGTCATTGTTGGCAGGATCGTTGGCATTCATCTGCGCTACGACGACATCCTCTTCATTCTCAAAGTCCTTTGCCACCTGCTCGTAGATGGGCGCCAGCTTTTGACAGTGTCCGCACCACGGAGCGTAGCTGGAGTGTGGGAAGGTAGGGACGCATAGGCGGTCGCGCGTGAGACGTACGTGCAAGTTCATCGAGAAACTGCGACACTCACAACTCGACGAGCACGTGCTTAGAGTCATCGAGGACGATCCTGTCGAAATTGTCCCTGCCGAGTTGAACAGCGACAGGCGGGGGTGGTAATTTGATGTTGCTCTTCTTTCCCGTCTTTTCCTCAACGAACTTGGCCAGCGTGTCGAGATCCCTTGCGCCTCCATAGTCTTCCAGCTTGTCAATGTCCTTTCCATCGAACCATTTGAGCGTAGGGAAACCTTTGATTGCGAACCTGTTTCCCAAATCCCTATTCTTGTCCGCATCGATCTTGGCAATCGTCACCTTGGTCGTAGCAGACGCTTTGCCATCGTTTCCGAAAGCGGCTGCTAGCTCGTCGTAGGTAGGCGCTAGCTTCTTGCAGTGCCCACACCAGGGAGCAAAGAATTCCAACAGGGCTGGCTGCTTGAGCGCTACAAAGGCGTCGAAATCCTTCGTCGACGTCAAGTCTACCGCTTTGCCCAGCGCAGTCGGCAACAACGCAACGGCAAGGATGCTGGTAGCCAGGCAGCTCGCTAGCATCGAGGGTGCTCGCATCTTTGTCAGCTATGCTGTTGACCTCGTCGTGTTAGCGTATTCTCGGCGAATTGTCGAGCGTGAATCACGTAATGGTGGTCGTCATGGTGGTCATTCGCGTTGCAACGGACAGCGCATACACTCGCACTCTCAGACCTTCGCGCGTGTCATGCAGAATCAGAATCCTGCCTGCACTTGACTCTCCCCCCTGCGACGCGCTTACGACCGAAATGAAATCTCTGAAAGTTTTTCAAATCCGCGTGTCCAGCTTGTAGCGTGGCAATACAAATATCATCGGCACACACACAAACCGCCACGTCGCGGTTGCGCGTGACCGTTGCGAGCGTTTGAGCACGGACCACTCCGCATGAAAAGGACTTGGCTCGCGCCCGTCAGCGAACCTAGCAGCGCCGCGAATGGTCTATGTGCACTCGTGACTACGGTTGCAGTGTCAAACAAAGATCCAACAACGTCGCAAGAGGCACATTTAATTCTACAGAGCATCAGGGAGGGCGAAGGAAAGGGGGATGAGGGAGCGGGAAGAACAGACCGGAGCAGACATTCAAGCATCTGCCATCTCGACATCTTCGTCCCCAGCACCACCAGCAGCGCCCGACTCTTCCTCCTCCTCCTCCTCCTCTTCCTCATCCTCCTCGTCCTCATCCTCATCCTCCTCATCGCTGTCCTCTCCCTCTGCAACCTCGAGGCTAGGTAGCTCCACTTCCCTATCTGCGCCAATGTAGCTGTCCGACATGAGGTACAATCTCAATCGACTATGAGTGCCCTTTGGCAGGGTGAACTCCAGCTTGGCATTGAGGCTCTTGGTGATGGTCACCCGCTTGATGGACAGGAGGGTGCGCGCACCAGGATCTCCGACAATCAACCACCAGTTGCACAGTTTCTTGTTGGGATAGAAAGGCGCCACAACCGTAGGATCGCTCGCCTCATCTTCCTCCTCTTCATCGTCGTCCTTGGCCAAATTCACATTCATGGTGATGGGCGTGCCGGAAGCGAGCGCATCTTGATCCTCGATATTGAAGGAGACTTCGATGTAAGGGAAATTATTCGTAAACTTCGCTACATCCGCCAACTGCCTCTTGTCCAAGCGCAGAAGATCGTCGCGCTCCTTATCAGAGAGATCTGGAAGCGTGTCTCCTAGCGCAAAGACATCTTCGATGCCTCGAGCTTTGCAGCGCGCAATCGTGTCCGCTGTAAAGTGTGGCACTTGCCGCAAAGGCGAGTCTCGATCCCAAACGGCTTGAACGCACATCTGGCTGAGCTCCATGGCAACGAGAGCATTGAGGAAGGCGTTGGAGGACATGACGTCGACGCAAGCGCTGAGAAGGTTGAGGATTTTGGTGAGAATCAATCGCTGGTCGTTCTCCAGGTCCGCCGGCAGGCTCAAGCGGGCAAAGTGAGCTTGTAGAAGCACAAAGACCTTGTGGTAGGGCGTCTGCAGATTGATGCGGTCTAGCTTGTGGGGCAATCGATCGTAGATCCGTCGAAGCACCACGTCCTCGTGCTGACGGATGGGCAAGTCTTCGAACTCGGCAGATGAGCTGACAATCTCCAACAGCCCCTTCAGCTTTGTGCGCTCCTTGAGGGACATGTTGAAGACGTCGATGGTGACATAAGAAATGTTGTAGAACGAAGAGACTGTAGTCGTGCATCAAAATGAGGCATGCACAGTCAGTAAGCATCTCATAGAGCACATCAATCAAGGGCGGCGACTCACTCATTCCCAGGTTGAGAGGCGCAACGTCCATCTCATCTTCAATGGCGATGCACTTTGAGTTCTCCAGATCAGCCAAGCTAGTCTCTACCAGCTCTGACAAAAAGTCTCCGATGTGTTGCATCGACGATCCTTGGCAATTGTATGCCTGAGGATTCTGTTGCAATCTCCGGTACATCAAGGTCCAGGTGAGAATATCGACGGCGCTCTGCTTATCATCGATGGTCCTGGCGACGATTTCGGCATTGAAAAAGTCTTGCGCATAGGATCCGAGTCTGCTCTCGATCGGCAGCCCTTCCGCGAGGAACTTCATGAAGAAGGCTTTGCGAGTGGTTTGAAGGAGCAGAATCACTCGACTACTTTGCCCCTCGGGTCCCCTTCTCGTTGCCTTGCCAACCATCTGTAAGACGTCGGTCAGAGGATAATCGACGTATCGATGCTCCTTGCCTTCGTAGGTCTGCACGCTGAGAATGAGGACCATGTGCGCGGTGAGAGGGATGCTCCAAGCCGTTTCTCGACTCGCGATGACCACTTGGATCGCTCCCGCATTGTAAAGCCGCTCAACAATCGCCTTGTCGCCCCTGCTCAGACTTTCGTGATAGTAGCCGATTCCATGCTCCAACAGCTCCGCCAACTCCCGATCTTGAAGACGTTGAAGGTGGGGCTTGAGATCGTTCATCTCGATGTTGAGGAATCTGCTCTCCCCATCCTCCCTCTCGCTCTCCGAGAGGACATAGGCAAGCAAGTCGTTGGCCGTCAATTTCGTCTGCTTGCGCGACGGAACGAAAGCAAGGACAGGCGACTCGGCGGCATGCTCGATGATGGACAGATATGCCGGCTTGACCATGGCGATCATAAGGGAGGGAAAGTGGGGAATGCTGAAACTTTGGATATGCACCTCCACAGGCACAGGTCGAGCAGCAGGAGAGAAGTTGTACACTGCTGAAGAGGGCGCACCAAGCCAGTCGCCCACGTCCTTCGCATTTCCAAGCGGCACACTAAGGGCGACAAATCGCGTGGCGTTGCCAGTCTGAGCAGCAACAAAACGGGCTCTCGAAAGAACGACTTCGTACGTGGCAGCAAGACGCCAGTCGCCGAGCATGTGCACCTCATCGGCAACGTACAAGCCGATGCTCTGCACGTTTTTGCGCTGTCGCCAACGACGGGAGAGGACGTCCCATTGATCCGGAGTCGCGACGATGACATCCGCCATCTCGAGTAATCTGAGATCCGCACTAGTCTCGCCCGTCAGGCCGACAATCTCTCTGCCTCCTCGATAGGCGCCAAACTTGGCCTTCCACTCCGCGACGCGAGGAGCGAGCATCTCGAGGAAAGGCACCAAGCAGACTGTGCGAGGAGTCTGCGATTCTCCTTTCGCGCTGCTGTTGTTCCAAAGGCGCAGCATTGCCAGCTCCGCGATGACGGTCTTCCCTGCCCCAGTCGGTGCGCCCACAAACGCCGAATCGTCTGTCTCGTAGATCGTATGATAGGTTTGAGTCTGAACCTTGTTGAAGGTGCCAAACTGACTCTGGAAGAGTGCCTGCGCATCCTTGCTCTCTAGCCCTGACACCGGCATCGGTTGTCGGTCCTCCAAGCGCGTATGAGGAGGGAACTTTTCCGGCAAAATCAGATTCTTGAACGAGATGGGCAACCTAACTTCGCTCTGCAACCACTTGTCGCTAACGACGGAGATAAAGTAGTTGGGCGGGACAGGATCCGTGACTGGAACGGTGAACGAGACCTGGTGCTCTTCTTCAGCGTAGCGTTGTCTGAGTTGAAAGGTGTCGTGGAATAGAATAATCTCTCCATCGACATCCTCGACGAGAATGTGAAACAGCTGAGCATGTCCGTGATGCTTCTCCTCCCATTGAAAGTCGGGCGTGATGGTGAGCTGCACGTGGAGGAGCGATCGAGTGACAGGTTGAAAGAAAGCTTGCAACTCCAATTTGGGAAATTGATGTACCAAACGGTGCACCAACCGACCGGCTTTAGGTTCGCCTATAAGTTCTCCAATCTCGTTGGGTTCCAAATCCCTCAGCCTGTGGAAAGGATACTCCATGCGCTCTAGCCGCCTCACAAGAGCGGGTGGGACACCTTTGAATTGCCTAAGCGGAGTCATCGAGTTCCACTGGCGGGACTCTGCCATCTTGCTGAGGTCCAGCGCGACGTGGCTCAAGCGAGCATAGCCGCGTTTCAAGCAAATCTCAAAGAGAGCCCTGAGTATTCTTCCAGCGGACTGGGTTACGTAGACCATATCTGCCGCCAAGACGTAGCCTTCCAGCTTGAGTTGAGAGATCCAAGTCTGCAGCAGGACATTGATCTTGGCTGCTGGATCCTCTAGCGTCTCCTTGACGGGTATGGGCACACGCTCGAGCAGCTTGCCCACTTCCAGCTTCTCGTCCTGTCTGACCATCTGATGCTTAAACTCGTCGCTGAGCGAGAAGACGCGGAACAATTCGATGAGGCCCATGTGCGGTTTGAGATGCTGCAAGTAAGTCGACATGCTCGTGTGCGAGACGTAAAAGTGTGATCCTACCCTGCCCAGGTCGTTCGTGGCAAATTGGCCTGTTCGTCGATCGTACCTCACCATGCCGCTCTTCTCCAGCCAGACTGCAGCAGAGTGGATGATGTCAGCTCTCTTCTGCTCCAAGAAGGGATCGTCTTCGGCATAGTCGGCCGTGACAGAGTACAATGCCGGGCTTCTCAGCATGCGAACGTAGAGGTACGTGTATCCGAGCCACGCCACAGCTTCATCCCGATTTCTGATCGTGCCGAGGACGATCTCCGCATTCAGATTGTCGGCGAGACGCGAGACGAGTTGAGACTCGATGGGAAGTTGCTGGTTGAGAAGGCTAAGATAGTACTGCAGCTGATCGTGATTTGTGATGATGATACCCTCTCCAAACGTGTCGTACTGTGGCCGACCAGCTCGACCGAGCATCTGCAGCATGTCCTGAGGGGACAACTCAGCCCACCGTCCCTTTTCGGGGTTGTAGATCTGCGTGCCCTTGATGATCACAGTGTGCGCGGGCAAGTTGACACCCCAAGCCTGCGTTTGGAGACGGGAGCACACATCAGTCGGAGTCACGCACCGCCATGGACAGCTACACGCTCAAAGCTCACCAGAGTCGCAGTGGATACTAAAACTTGCAAATGACCATCTCCGAAGAGATCTTCTACCAGCTGACGATCTGCTCGGCCCATACCAGCATGGTGAATGCCGAAACCGTACGGCATGACATCGCGCAGATTGGCGTCTTTGACGTTCTCGATCTCTGCATTCGCGAACAAAAGCGCATGGGTGTCAGGCAAGGCGGCAAGGCGTCTCGATGAGATGATCATCAGGACCATCGACTCACCAGTCTGAAGCACCTCTCTGCTCGCCGAGCTCTGCGGCAAGAATCTAGCGAGTGTATCTTGCTCCATGGCCATATCCCTGATAAATTTGGCAGTCTTGGCCGTCTCCTTCCTAGAGTGAACAAAGATCATGACCTGATTCTTGCCCGCCTGGTCCAACGTCTTTTCGTAGCAGACATCGTTCATAATCTGGAACCTCTTGATGGCCTTCTTTTCCGTGATGCCCACGTATTCTTGTTGGAGCGGGCACGGCCTGTACGAGGCTTCAAAGTAGAACAGTCCGCGCTTGGTATTTACTCGAAGGAAGGTGGCCACGTCCTTGTAATTAGGCAGGGTAGCCGAGAGTCCTACAAGCCGAACAGGATCATTGAGCTGCTCCATGCGTCGAATGGTACGCGCGATGATCGCTTCCAAAACCGGACCACGATCGTCGTGCAAGAGGTGGATCTCGTCGACAATCATGAGCCTGACCAGATTCGTATAGCTGCTATCCGTGCTCTTCCGCGACACCACATCCCACTTTTCTGGAGTGGTGACGATGATCTGGGTATCCGCAATCTGCTGCTTCGTCAATTGCGAATCGCCCGTCAGCTCATTCACCTGGACGCCAAAGTGAGACAGCCGAGCTCGGAAATTTTCCGTCTGCTCAGCAACGAGCGCTTTCATGGGCGCAACGTAGACGATCTTGAACGCAGTCAAGTCGAACGTTCCAGTCTCTTCGTCTCTCCACTTGCCTAGCTCGTTGAGAATGGTGAGCATCGCCACGTTGGTCTTTCCGGCACCGGTAGGAGCGCAGAGCAGCATAGGTTCGTCCGATCCAAAGGCGATCGGGTAGCACTTGGACTGCACCGCATTGAGCTCTTTGGCCCCTGGAAAGGCCGTCTGGGCCCAGGCGGGCAAAGAAGACATTTGTATCCTCTCGCTAGCAGGCACGTCCTTCTTGACGGGCGCCGGCACGTGAATTTCCTCGTAGCCCTTTTTGCTCCGCTTGAAACTTCCTTCGGGTAGACGGACTTTGGCATTGGTGTTGAGGTGGCCTCCTGCAGTGAAAGCCATAGCTTCGAGGTCCACTCCTTTGCGCGGTGCAAGGGTTGATCCGGGCGCGAGCGCGGCGGCTGTGGTAATTTTGCGCGCTCGTGCTTTTGCATCTTCGTCAATATCGAGGGGCTTGAGGCCAGCAGCAGCAGCAGAGCCCTTCGCACCGGCTTTCGCGTCGCCTGCACCGCGCAGAGCTTTCAAAATCCAACCGACTCCAGCCTCTCTCATGCTGACCTCGACGTCAGCTCTAGAAGACTCGTCCGCTCGACCGAGTCTAGTGCACCACACTACCAATTCGCGATTCTTGATGAGCGTCTGCACGATGTCGAAATGTTCGTAGTCGAAGAGTTCCATGAGATCGTTTTCTGCATCGCGCGCCGGCGTATCTTGAGCCAGAATCTCGAGCGCCTTGGAGGCTTTGGAGGAGGATTCGTGCTCGTCTGGGTATGAAGCAGCGACGAGTCTCTGCAGCCAAAAAGCGTCAACATCGAAAGGAGTCAGTGTATCGGAAGTCCTGCTCGCTGGGCCACTCTTGGCCTTGCTTGACGTCGATGTGGATGCGCCTTGACCGCCATCACCACCGATGGTGACTTTTGCATCGCCTTCTGCTTCTGCGTCGCTGGTCGAGTCGGCCCCATCTGCGGCATCCTCATCCTCATCGCCATTCGCAGCTGCAGGAGCGTCGTCCTCGTCGTCGCTCTCTTCCCTTACGACGTAGGTCTCGCCTTCTTCCTCTTCATCCTCATCTTCTCCTTCGAAGAGCACGGCCACGCCGTCCTCGTCCAGCACGTTCCTCTTGTCAGCATCAGGATCCCTGACATCCTCTCCCTCAGCCGAGTAGTCTGTCAACTTCTTGGAGAGATTGACGAGTTGCCCAAACGACTCTTGACTCATGGCTGTGCCTAGGATCGATTCAACCTCCTTCGCTTTCTCGTGATCCCGCATATCATCCAGCTTGAGCGTCTCGATGACCCCGTCCGTCGCCGATCTGACGACGTCGGAAGTCTGGTCTCCCAAAGCTCTGAGCACGATGTTGAGGATCATTTCGTACGTCTGCCGAGTTTCTGCTGTTCGTGGCACATACGTGAGACCTTCGATGTCGGCAGTAGCTTGAAGTACGTCCGCATAGCTTCCGCCCAGACCTCCTCCTCCTGCATTGGAAGCTGCAGCGCCGCCATTAGCATTTCCCTTTTTGTTCAATCTGATTTCTCCCTCATCCATAGCCTTTCGCTTCTTCTTTTCCACATCCTTCGCTTGTTCCCTCACCACCCTCGCGCCCATATCCTTGTGACTGATGCGCCCAATGAGAGACTCGGGAGCACCGCTGGGCTCATTGTCGTGCCGATCTACCAGTCGACGATCTGTCTGCGTCACCAACGAGGAGATGGCACTGTACTGGTAGCCCGACAGATCCGGCTTCTTGGGCGGCATGGTGGCGCAGCGATGCTATGTGGGCAACAGAGGCGGATGCTATCCTGGTGATTGGCAAAGACAATCAAGCGGGCGAGACGAGTGCAGTGCGCTGGGCAGCACGAAGAGGCAGGTGCTCGCAGGCAGAAACGACTCGGCCGAGTAGTAGGATAGTAGGAACGACTACGACTACGACCACGACGCCAAGCCGGTGACGATCAGAGTACTGAGTGCGTGCGGATAGAGAAAGGTGCAAGCTGGACCAAATGCTGTCGATGGTGTCCCTGCCTGCTCCGAAGTCCTCGCAGGTGGTGTGAAGCAAGTGACTTCAGCATCGTGTGGCAATGAAGTCACCACCCCACCCTGCGCGAAGAAAGCTTCGACGGTTGCGACACGCGCGCGCGCGCGCTTGATTCAATCCCTCGCTTCTGACGCTGCCTTCATGCGTCCCACTCTGCTCAAAGTCAAAGTGGGCTCTCCCCGCGGCGTCGCGCAAGGCTAATCACGTGAAACGTGCATCGTGATTTCGTGAATCGAGTCACGTGAATGGATTCTTGAATGCACGCACGCACGCACGCACGCACGCACGCACGCACGCACGCACGCACCACTCAAGACGCACTGCTGACTCCAGCAGCAGCGTTGCCGGTCAGGCGGGGCGGGGCAGGCAAACGCACCCTGCAACCCGGCCCGGCATTCAGCGCGCCTGTTTCTCATCCTCACGACTACGTGCAAATCCCCATCAAATCGTCGATCCAGCTGGCACAAAGCAGTCATTCACATTGGGCATCGGCATCGAGCGGCGATCTATCAGCAAGTCAATCTGAATCTGCGCCTGCGCGATCGCTATCCAGGGCAAAGCTGACCGTTGTCGGCGCTACTGTTCGCGCGTGCGAGCCTCCCCCTTCGCTTCGCCGAGCGACTGACTGCTACACGGCTGCTCCCACTTGCATTGCACCACCGCATCAAGCTTCATCGACACCCCATCGCATCCAACCAAGTCGCTCGAACATGGCCGAGACGCTCGCAACAAATGGCGTCGCGTCCGCAGCGGCATCCGCAGTCCCCATCGTGCCCGTCGGCGGGAGCGATGGCGCGAGTGGAGCAGGCGGTGTCAAGCCTACTCTGCTGGGAGCAGCAGCAGCAGAGGCGCAACCAGCAGAGCGTATGCACCTGATCAACGAGGAGCAAAAGTTCACACCGGACTTGACGAGTTATCTGGCCAAATGGAACTTGATAGAGAGCGGTTTCGGATACAATCTGTGTGCGGTGTTGGGTAGTCAGAGCACTGGAAAGAGCACCTTGCTCAATCGACTGTTTGGAACGAGCTTTGATGTGATGGACGAGACGAGACGTCAGCAAACCACAAAGGGTGAGTGCTGGAAGCCGTGTGCACTGGCTGACTCGTGGTGCATGCATACATTCGAATCAATCTTACTGACTCGCCGACGGGCCTCGACGCCTCGCACCCGCACCCGCACAGGTATCTGGCTCTGTCGAGCTTTGCAAGCTCCTTTGCTCGTGATGGACGTAGAAGGCACAGATGGTCGTGAAAGGGGAGAAGACCAAGACTTTGAGCGCAAATCGGCCCTCTTCTCCATGGCCAGCGCGGAATGCTTGATCGTAAACATGTGGGAGATCCAAGTGGGCTTGTATCAGGGCGCAAACATGGGACTGCTCAAGACCGTCTTTGAAGTCAACTTGGGCCTGTTTCAGTCCGCTAGAGCTCGGTGAGTGCGAACGAGAGCGCATATATGCGCGTGCGCTACGCGTGAGCCGGACGAGACGAGACGTCTCATGTTGCGCTCTGTCGCCACTCCGTGTGCGCACATCCGCCGCAGCTCGGGATCAGCGGCGCGGGACAAAACCCTGCTGTTTTTCGTCATTCGCGATCACATTGGCGTGACGCCGCTGGAGAACCTCAAGAACACCTTGCTGCACGACTTGGGCAGAATTTGGGATTCCCTCTCCAAGGTGAGCTCCGGTCAACATCTGTCCAACTGCGAGGCGTTCGTATGAGCCTAACAGCCTCCTCGAATCTTCTCAACACCAGCCCGAAGGTCTGGAATCATCACAAATCACCGACTTTTTCGACTTTGACTTTACCACATTGCCCCACAAGGTCCTGCAGCCCGACGAGTTCGAGAAGCAGGTGGTGCAGCTTCGAGAAAGATTTGTGGAGCGCAACAATGCCAAGTTTGTCTTTAGGCCCGAGTATCACAAGCGCATTCCTGCGGATGGGCTTCCCATGTACCTTGGTAACATTTGGGTGAGTAGACGGCTCACGCTGGCAGGATGAGGGTACACGGGCATTAATCGCTGCGCTCCTTCGCCTATCTGACACTTTTTTTGTTCGCTGGGATGCGTTGCGCTCCCTCTCGAATGCAGGAACAAGTCATGACGAACAAGGATTTGGATTTGCCTACCCAACAAGAATTGCTGGCTCAATTCAGATGCGATGAAATCGCTGGGGCTGCCTTTACCGCCTTTACAAGTCAAATTCGCACCTTTAGAAAGCCGATCGAAGCTGGCTCCATCTTGGAGACATTGGGCGAGGACATGGGAGCGCACAGAGGCAGCGCGTTGGGTGAGTTGGAGTTGGATTGAGAGCCTGTCGTTGGCGCGCCCATCTGACTTGAAGTATGCGTCTGCAAGCCAAATTTGACAAGGACGCATCACGCTATCATCAAGAAGTCTACAAGCGTAAGCGCGTCGAGCTGCTGGACAAACTCAATGCTGCTCTATCTCCCTTTTTTCTGGGTCAGCTCAAGAACCTTCACAAAGTTGTGCTGGCCACCTTCCGTACATCCGTCCTGGATCGATTGCGAGGAGAGAATTACGACTTTGCAGAGGTTGTGCAGGGGGAAAGAGCAAAGGCGTTGAGTCGATTCGCAGCTGCTAGTCTAGCGATTAGGTTGAGCGAGACAGATTGGACGACGGACGAGGAGCAAGAGCAGCTCAGAGAAGCGATCGATGGGATCGCAGACCAGTGCAGAGCGGACGAGACGAAAAAGATGGTGGCGCAGATAGAGAGGGGCATCAAAAAGATCACGGCTGAACCTACCGAGCTGGCGCTAGCTAGACCCGGACCGGACATGTGGGACAGAATCTTGATCGCTTTCAAAGATGCGCTGACGAGCGCCGAAGCTGCGTACTTGGAGAAAGCAAAGAGTGAGTAGGGATCATGCGCGCGCTCGTCGTGTCGAGGCATGCATGAATGTTGAGTTGGGCCACGTCGCACGTCTTTGTCTTGCCAGGCTTCAATTGCACAGACGAAGAGAATGCCGTAGCTTTGAGCTCCCTTCGACGCAAATCTTGGCAAGCCCTTCGAGCGAAGATTGACGAGCAGACGGCGGACGCTGTGCTCTCCATCAAGCTTCGGAGCGTCTTTGAGGATCGATTTAGATACGACGATGAGGGTGTGCCGAGGGTTTGGAAGCCCGACGACGATATCGATGGCGTGTTCCGAAAGGCGCGCGATGAGGTGAGGGCAATGTGTTCACTTTTGATGTTTGAGAGGTCGCGCTGACAAGGGCCTGCATGCGCTGATGCCCAACATCTCTCCGCCTCGCACAGACGCTGGCTCTGATTCCCGTGTACGCGCGCATCGAGCCATCGGACCCGCATTTGGCTGTCAGCATCCCCTCCACCTCTGAAGATCCAGCGCACGCAGCTCAAGTGGAGCGCGGAGAGGATGAAGAATTTGATTTCCCCTCTTCCTTGGTCCTCTTCACCGAGACGCGCAAAGCGGACGTTTCGGCCAGGTTCAGAAAGGAGGCGGATGCGTACTATGTAGAGGCGAAGAGGAGCACCGTCTCGTCTATTGCGCAAGTGCCGGTGTGGATGTATGGCGTCATGGTCGCGCTGGGATGGAACGAATTTTTGGCCGTGGTTAGGAGCCCTCTTTATTTCACCTTTCTGCTTCTCCTCATCGCTTCCGCTTACGGTGAGTCTTGGGGCGCACCTCGGCGAGTAGAGCGAAGCCTATGCTCAAACGTACCCGCTTCTCAACTTTGTGTGCGTGTGTGCGCGCGCGC